CACTTCTTTCTTTTTTTTCCCTTTTTTATTTTCACTTCTGCGATGGAAAAAATGCATTTTTCTGAGGTACATCGGGTGCTGAGGGGAAAATTATTGCTCGTTGAATAACTCGCGGAATTTTGGATTTGTTTCTGTAAGTTACATGTGGTACTGCTGATATTGATACTTCTTTCTCTCCACCTCTTCATTACGTGTATTCCATTGACTGGAGCGCGTCGTCGTGTCGATGTGGCGAAAGTGGAGGAAGCACAGGCGAAACGTATTTTCCTGTTCGTTGTGTGCCGGCGAACGAGCCCATTCGCTTCCATTCTTGACGACGTATCGATGAATTACAATTTAGCTTTGCACGCGCCGTAGATTATTAATGTCCGATCCGACCCGGGGCCCGGATAAAGCGTCGCGCGGAACGATCTGGCACTAACTGAAACGCAATTCGCGAAATCCTTTAATTAAATATATACGTACAGTGTCCCCGGCAAACGTATGCATGAAGGAAAACGTGAATTGACAAATATAACATGGTCGATAAAAGAGTGTGTCGAGTTTCGAGGAAACACGCGTTTTTCTCTTTTCACCCGATAAATCTCAGCTCGGTTACGGCTTTAACGCTTATCGGTGCTTCCGGGGTGGGGGAGAAAGGGGTAAAGAAGCGTGCTCGACGAAAGGGAAAAATAAGAAGGAATATTCGGTAAGGTGAGCTCAGCGGAGAATCAGGCCGCTTACGTTCGACACGAGGAGCGACGAGAGAGATAAAAAGTTTTAAAGGAGTCGGTGAGAGACTGGTTTTTATTCGCCGCTACACACACACACACACGTACACACGTATGCACACAGGGACATAGGTTGGTATGCAAACCTGTTTGATTCTGTCTGAGAAACTGAGGGTGAGAACTTGCGACGACCAGGGGAAAAAAGGAACGCAAACGGCCACTGGAGTTGGTCAAAGCACAACAGGTTTCCGTCTCTTAAACCTTTAACTCTGAGATTTTTCCTTTCGGTCGTTTATTTCGCGCCCCGAAGGGGATTACACGTGTGCAGCGTAATGCCGTTAAAATAACTGACTGAAAGTCTGCTAATCGCATAAGAACGCGTTGTACAGAGAGCCGTTTATTCAGCCGTAAGGAAAATAGCTAAGAATTTTT